GTGGTTTAGCCGTTATTTTACCCCCTACACATTTGACCCGTTACAGTGTTATTAACAAATTTATGTAAAATAGGTATAAAACCAGGAATTACTTATTTATATAGTGTTGGAAATTTCTCCAGACGCAACTTCAGTACGTTTGCTGCAGAGAATACATTAACAAGATTAATTTGAACAGCAGACATTTTACAAATAGGCTACCACACAGTAATATTTGGCCTACCTAACATCTTCACAGAAAATTTACTAAATTTAAACCTAATTAAAATTTTACCTAATTTAAGTTTTTAAAAACCTAATTTAAACCTAATTAATTTTAACAAATTTAAGAGGCACAAATGTGTACATACATCCCAATTTTGGTCATGATTAGCTTAGCCTATTTGACTAACGGATAAGTTAAATGAATGACTGAGTCGTTTTGGACTTGGTCTGGTTTACCGTGAGAAATCTTTGAATTTTAACTTAGGGGGAGCTTATATCCAGGGGTATGTTTTAAGACTCACTGACCCCCATAGGCTTAACTTGCAGAGCAAACATTTATTACCAACAACTGTACCGTACATTTTATTTTTTATGTATTTATTACCAACATCATTGTACCGTACGTAATGAACTTTTGGCTACGTCCGTGCATCTCTAAGACGTGACACAAGTTAACTAAATAAATTTTGTAACAAGGCCAACATGGTAGTTTAATACCCTTGAATTTAAATATTTCCGCTCAGATCCATTATAAGATTTACAATAACCTACCTTAAGTAATTAATAGGCTAAATTATAAGTTGCCTACAACAGTGTTAACTTGGCACAGGAGTGGTTCTCCTCATACCTTAGAAAGAGGGAGCAATTCGTTGAGGTCAGAGGTGTTGACAGTTCTGGGTGTGCTCGACCCTTTGTCTCCTCTCGGGACACCGTCACTTGTGGGGTTCCCCAGGGATCTGTCCTCGGACCTGTGCTGTTTCTGATTTATATCAATGAACTGCCTTCAAGTGTTGAGGCTGGAGAGATCTGTCTTTTTGCGGATGACACGTCTTTAACTCTGTCTGGCTCAACTTCCGAGGAATTAGAATTAAAATCTTTTATTGAGGCAAATAACGTAAAGCAGTGGTTTGACTCCAATTTATTAAATCTCAACCCCAACAAAACTGAATTGCTCCGTTTTTCAATCCTAGGCAATCCACAAACAACTATCCTTTTAGACAATGTGGAAATTGAGTCAACAGAAGGCGTCAAGTTCCTTGGTTTAATATTAGACAAACACCTTCGTTTTTATGACCATATCGACAGTGTGTGTACGAGGGTTGGTTCCAGCATCTTTCTTTTAAAACAATTGTCAATTTTTTCTGATCAGAACGTCCTTATGACCCGCCTATTCATGTCATTTTCCCTCATTTAGTATACGCAGTGCCGGCATGGGGATGTGAGAATGGAAGGACCAGATTTCTATTTCGACTTCAAAAGAGAGCAATTCGAACCATCTTTAAAATGAGCTCACGAACTTCATGCAAAGATTTTTTTCAGTCTTCAAATATTTTAACTTTTCCATGCATATGTACATCCTTGAAACACTCTCTTTTCTGAAAAAGAACATTTTTTTCCATTTTTTCAAGTTCCAGATCATGTCCATATTCTTTGCGAAACAATCTTAATCTTCAGATACCAAAACATTCAACCACCTTTTTCAAAAAACATCTTTATTGTAACGGTACAGGCCTACTGCTTTTCAATGCACTGCCAACACATCTAAAAATTGAGTCAAACCCTGTTGTTTTTAAAAAATCACTTCGAAAATTACTGGTGTCCAAGTGTTACTACCGTGTCCGTGATTTTATTGCTGATGGGTAGTTATAGGCATATGGTATGCTTGGTTCATGAATTGATTACATGTAGGCCTAAATATTGTTTATTTTAGTAGTTATTTTATAGTTTATAAGACAATCTTTATTTTTTTAAGTATATTGACTTAGCCAATGCATTCATGTAAATCTGGCCAAATTAAATGACTTAAAATGACTTATGTATCCTACAATAAATTACAACTTCCTAACTTAAGACCTAAATCTTTTGCAATACGGTAGGCATATAACACTTAGCTTAAGTGCATACCATAGCCTAACAACTATTAGGTTAGGTACGGTAGGCCTACACCTAACTTATCTTTTTTACAGTTGTAAAAATTATTCAAAGAAACGGTCCAAACCCTGGTCCATCTTCAATCTTTTTCTTTGATAACTTAACATTGGTAATTATAGACGGTAATTATATCGACCTCCGGACCTCACGCGAAATTAAAATTTTTTTTTTTCAAAATGGTCGAAATTTCACGCTGATTTCAAAAATGATTGTCGTTTTTTGCGGAAACGTCCCGTTTTCCCGGAAAATGAGAAAAACGGGAAAAAATCTTTTTTGCTCAAAACCCATGTTGTGGGTACTCAAATTGTGCGGAATTTCCTCCTGAACAAAAATATGTAATTTTTATTACGATCGAACCACTATTAAGTAAAATATCACCAGAAAAGTGGGCCATATTTAAATAACAAAGGTTAGGTCAGGTTACTTTAGGTTAGGTTAGGTTACTTTAGGTTAGGTTACTTTAGGTTAGGTTAGGTTAGTTTAGTTTAGGTTAGGTTAGTTTAGGTTAGGTTAGGTTAGTTTAGGTTAAGTTTGGTTAGGTTAGGTTAGGTTAGGTTAGGTTAGGTTAAGTTCGGTTAGGTTAGGTTAGGTTAAGTTAGGTTAGGTTAAGTTAGGTTAGGTTAGGTTAGGTTAGGTTAGAATAGTTTATCAATAACATGAGTATTGTAACTATGTAAACTAACCCAACCGAACCTAACCTAACTTAACCTAACCTAACTTAACCTAACCTAACCTAACCAAACTTAACCTAACCTAAACTAACCTAACCTAACCTAACCTAACCTAACCTAAAGTAACCTAAACTAACCTAACCTATAAGGTTAGGTTAGGTTAGAATAGTTTATCAATAACATGAGTATTGTAACTATGTAAACTATCCCAACCAAACCTAACCTAACCTAACCTAACCTAACTTAACCTAACCTAACCTAACCTAACCAAACTTAACCTAACCTAAAGTAACCTGACCTAACCTAACCTAAGTTAAAGTAACCTAACCTAACTTAAAGTAACCTGACCTAACCTTTGTTATTAAAATATGGCCCACTTTTCTGGTGATATTTTACTTAATAGTGGTTCGATCGTAATAAAAATTACATATTCTTGTTCAGGAGGAAATTCCGCACAATTTGAGTACCCACAAACCAAACTTAACCTAACCTAACCTAACAACTTAGGTTAGGTTACTTTAGGTTAGGTTAGGTTACTTTAGGTTAGGTTAAGTTACTTTAGGTTAGGTCAGTTTATCAATAACATGAGTATTGTAACTATGTAAACTAACCTAACCTACCTAACCTAACAACTTCGGCTAGGTTACTTAAGGTTAGGTTAGGTTAGGTTAGATTACTTTAGGTTAGGTTAGGTTAGGTTAGAATAGTTTATCAATAACATGAGTATTGTAACTATGTAAACTAACCCAACCGAACCTAACCTAACCTAACTTAACCTAACCTAACCTAACCTAACTTAACCTAACCTAAACTAACCTAACCTAACCTAACCTAACCTAAAGTAACCTAACCTAACCTAACCTAAAAGGTTAGGTTAGGTTAGAATAGTTTATCAATAACATGAGTATTGTAACTATGTAAACTATCCCAACCGAACCTAACCTAACCTAACTTAACCTAACCTAACTTAACCTAACCTAACCTAACCTAACCAAACTTAACCTAACCTAACCTTACCTAAAGTAACCTAACCTAACCTAAAGTAACCTGACCTAACCTAACCTAAGTTAAAGTAACCTAACCTAACTTAAAGTAACCTGACCTAACCTTTGTTATTAAAATATGGCCCACTTTTCTGGTGATATTTTACTTAATAGTGGTCCGATCGTAATAAAAATTACATATTCTTGTTTAGGAGGAAATTCCGCACAATTTGAGTACCCACAACATGGGTTTTGAGCAAAAAAGATTTTTTCCCGTTTTTCCCATTTTCCGGGAAAACGGGACGTTTCCGCAAAAAACGACAATCATTTTTGAAATTAGCGTGAAATTTCGACCATTTTGAAAAAAAAATTTTTTAATTTCGCGTGAGGTCCGGAGGTCGATATAATTACCATTATAGACCAATGACAAAACGGCATCTGGGTCCATTCAATCTTGCTTGGAATCAAAACTACCCTAAGCATCCAAAACAGCAACCCACAAATTCGAAGACATGCATTATAACCACCCAGCAGCAGCTATTCAGTATTTCCATACGCGGGATTATTATCCCCAAAACAGGACTTTTAGACCATGAGGCATGATAAAAGGGGATGTGGGATAAAGCAGGATATTTGGCTATGGCGTCTATTATAATTTTTTTCTAACTTAGGTACTTAATTTGGGAGAAAACCTAACTCTAATTGGTTAAACTAAGTTACTGTGGCAAAATATAATCGCAATGTTTTAAACAACTACCTATTTAAAAATGATAGGCCTGCGTCAAATAGGCTAGGCCTATGACACTCGGGATTGAACTAAATATCATTAGGATAGAAAAGGATTTCTCAACAAAGTAGGCCTAAGCGGGATTATTTTTTTGGTCGAGTGGATGGATACACTAAGTTACAGCTAGGCCCTACCCAGAGAACTTTTCTTTAGCCTGTTAAGTGCCACTGTTTATGGAAGGCCAATTAGTAGACCTAGCCTATGTTAAGTAGGCATGCCCAAATGTATGCAATGTAGCCTAGGCCTAAATTAATGTGGGCGATTTTTCAGTAACAAGTTATTAGTCAAGTGAATTATTAAAGTAATAAAATCAATAAATGCAACAAAGCAGTCGGCCTAAATGTAGTAAGTTACTTGCAAGCTACCGTCTATGAGAGACTTGGGATTAAATCTAACCAAGTAGGCCTAAAATGAAAAACTAACCTTTAAAAAATGCAGTGAAGGCTTTAAAGTGTGTTTCATCAAAGAAGGTCTGGAAAACATTTTTACTGATAGGTATGATGATCGCAAATGAACTCTTGGCTATGGGTGTTCTTTTTTTTCTTTATGGGTGTTTCTTCTCTTGCACTTTCTTCTAAACTAAACTTGTATTGTCTTCACGTTGAAAGGAAAAATGTTTACATTTACAATAATTATTGTGCCGGTCTAATTCTATCTAATCAAACTAAATTAAAACTAACTATGATATGACTCATTGCTCTGTTCGACTGAATGAATCCATACTGTAAACATAACCATACATAACCTATTTTAATTTAATTATCATCTGGTCTTGGGACCTTGGGTCTCGGTGTTTCGGTCTGGCTGGATGGCTGGATCTAGGATCTGATACGTTTATTTTATTTTTTTTTTATTTCTTCTTATCTTTTATTTTTATATGACACTGTTACTACTATAGTTCGGCCGCTTAGAAAACGACCAAACGACCTCCACCACCATTGGTTTAGCATCAGCGCGCGCGCATTGTGGCGCAGGTCGTTTTCTAAGCGGTCGAACTATAGTCGATTTTTCTAACCACCTGACACGCACATCATAAAAAATACGTCGTAGGAGCATTTCAGTGAATTAATTGTCGAAACTACTAGGGCCCTTTCCCTTTCACACGAGACGAGACCACTCGCCTGGTGGCCCACCACCAACGGTTTTAAATGGGTACTTTCAGAGTCAAACGAAGCCACTACCAGTAAATTATGATTTGACCCAGGCAAAATTGCTTCATAAGCCATTGAAGTGGTATTCGACTCAACAAATGTTACTTTACAACATATTTACTATTTATCCAAAATCCGACTATGGGAAAGTGTCTAAAATAAATTTTAAAATGACGGCAATTTTTCTTAAGAGCCATTTATTTTAAAACACCAATAGTCACATAAATATGGGATATGGCCTTAAAACAATGTAATAAAACGTTGTATGGTTTTATTTGGTTAGTGACGTACTAACAACAGTTGCCAAAAATCAGTCTACAGGAAACAGAACACCCTCAAATGAAGATTAAAAACGGTGGGATATTTGTTTACTTTAGGGGCTTCTAACGAATTTTGGCAAAAAATGTTTTTTTCTCATTATTTGGCCTATTTTGAACACTTTTTACATTTGGCACTTTTGGGGCAAACGCCTATTTCACCCTGAAAATCGCGTTTGAAAATTGCAAAAAGTGATAAAAATTTGCGTGGTTTTTTTACTCTTAATGTGTTTTTACTATTACTTAGCACCTACAGAACTAAATATAATCCAACCTAATTTTATCTAATCTAACCTAACTTAACCTAACCTGACCAACCCTACCTAACCAATGCTTAGGTTAGCATGCCGAAAATAGCGGATTATTAGTTAAACCAAGGTTAGGTTACGTTAGGTTAGGTTAGGTTAGTTAAGGTTAGGTAAGTTAAGGTATGGCCAGTTATTAAGTTATTATTTAAATCAATTAGCCTAAAATCACCTGAATATTTGAAATCTAACCGAACCTAACTTAACATTACGTAAACTAACCTAACTATATTTAAACTTACCTAACCTAATCCTACCTAACCAATGCTTAGGTTAGCAATATGCCGAAAATAGCGGATTTTTAGTTAAACCAAGGTTAGGTTAGTTTAAATATACATCTGCTTATTACTACAATAATAAAAACACATTTAAAGAAAGGCAAGGGGGGGGGAACCTGATTTTCTAAGTAAAAATGGCAATTGCTGTAAAATTTTCACGATTTTCAGGGTGAAATAGGCGTTTGCCCCAAAAGTGCCAAATGTAAAAAGTGTTCAAAATAGGCCAATTTTTTTCAAAATTCGTTATAAGCCCCTGAAGTAAACAAATACCAATGGCGGTTATCCCTAACATTGGACACATTAAAAAATATATCACATGCATTTTATGCATATTTTTTAGATATTCACTTGAGATTACCAGCCGATATTTATTATGTGGTTAGTCCTTTATTTTGACAGGAAACGCATTTTGGCCACCATCTTAGATCTGCCATATTGGATCCGCTATATTGGATATAAATATATCTTTTAAACGTATCGATAGTGTTGTGACACATCATTTATAAATTAGATTTTCACGCTTATTTCAATACTAAAATCCGTTTTTAAATATATTTTTTTCGTTTTGAAGATATATTTAAACAAAAAATCTCCCTCATACATTTCTTATGGACGTTACGTTTGAAATTTTTTTAAGATCATTTTCTTATAGCTCCAGTTTTTACTAACGCTTGCAGTTTGTTCTAGCCTTAAAATATTTGATGACAAAAGTGTTTTCATTTGAGCTATTGATCATTAAAATCGGACGTGTTATAGACGAGCTACAAACCCTAACACAATAGGCTATTAAATTTAACTTTTTAGAAATAAGTTTTTATTAAAATATGTATATCTCGGGTTGATAATATGTCACCAAGTTCTTTCTTGTCTCAAATTACTCAGTGGATGTTTGGCTTTAATTTTATGTATCACTTAATAAAATATGACAAATTTAAAATGAGTCATGAATCTTTATTTAACAGTAAATCATTTCGTTTACAAAATTGATCTTTAGTTTAGGGCATTTATCCCCAATTCTAATAACTCCCAATAAGTAATCCATAGCTAAAACAAAAGTCAATAATGTTAAACTATTTATTTAAGACTGTAAAGATTTTTGGGAGTTATTTAGAATTGGGGATATATGTCTAAAACTGAAGACAAAGTTTGAAAAACAAATAATCTACTAAATAAGGATTCACGACTCAATTAATATTCATCAGATTTTATTAAATGGTTATTAAAATTAAAGCCAAAGATTCACTGAGTAATTTGAGACTAGAATGAACTTGGTGACATATCTACACCTGAGATATACATATTTTAATAAAAACTTATATCTAAAAAAAGTTAAATTCAATATTGTGATCGGGCTCGTAGCTCGTTTCTAAATCATCCGATTTTAATTATCAATAGCTCAAATGTAAACCCTTTTATCACAGAATATTTTAAAGCTAGAACAAACTGCAAGCGTTAGTAAAAACTGGAGATAAAAAAATTTCTTAAAAAATGTTCAAACTACGAAACGTCCATAAAGAAATGTATGGGGGTACGAATTTTTGTTTTGTAGTCCTTTTGCATTGCCTCTTTTGGCATGTTTACTGTTTCCTATAATAGTTATTTTTCACATATTTGTTCAAACGTCTGAGAATAATGTCCTTCTTGGTGAAAAACTCGTACTACCATACAGTATCTGATATACCGCCAACCCTACTAGAGTGATTATTGAAAATGGTCCATTCTTCTTTTATGACCCATTGCGCAACTGTGGGTGTAAACAGAACGAACTGTTATGTCTTGTTTCTTCTTCTGTAGCTTTGTACAAGGCCTATTCATACATACTGACAGATATCACTTTGAATAACCTTTTTCAGGGGAACCCAAGAATGAGAAGTGTGTTTTGAAAGTAAAACCAATCCAAATCTTCATTTGATTTCATCAACTGTCCTTGATACTATAAATAAACCAGTGATTATAGCACAAAATTTGATTCTATCGGTGCAATAAAGTATGTATACACAAAAATACGAATGCAGAAAAAATCTTGGAATTGTTTGCACATTATTCAGGACTTATCTTATAATATCCTTAACACCAGGTAAATGACCATTATGCTAATAAGTCATTTAGTTTTAACAGATTTTCCTTGAAGGAAGAAGCTCTACAGCGGCACAAAAAGATCTACCCTCGGGGCCAATTTATTTTGATGTCCCCAGAGGCCAAAAACACAATATGTCAATATTTATCATACTAATATTATAAAAATGTAAAAGTTTGTGTGTTTGCTTGTTTGAAGTTCAATCACAAATTTAACTACTGGACAAATTGGGCTGAAATTTGGCATGATGATACCTCACATTCCCGATTAACATAATAGGCATATTCTTATCTCAAAAATCCTTTCGGGCTCCGCCCCAGTGGCTCTTCAGTTCCCCATGTTAACCTTATGAATATTCATATTTAATGTTTCAACTAAAAAAGTTGGTTCTATGATATGCAAAAGCATTAAAAAGTTACAAGATTTAACAACAGGGTGCAGCACTATATTTTTTTGCATTTATGAAAACAGCTTATTTGAACTAAGCAGCAAAAAAAAACAGTGATACGCAATGAGAACTGTCAAAGTAGGATTGTTTGTTATTAATTTTCATGATAATTTGTGATAGTTTGCGGATTCTTAATGCGTAATATTAATAGTCAAAGGTAATATTTATATTTCTCTATTGTTTAGGTGAAGAGGTACAACATTATAGCTATGGTAAATGTGTAACATTATAGTATACACCAATTTAAAGAACTAAATTTTATCAAACTGCGTCCTCTCCCATTGCAAACGCAAAGCTCTAGTATTACTGCAATAAGCATTTTATCATTATGCCAACCCCATACGAAGGACGGGTACTCTGCTAGTAAATATATGTGTGTGTGTTTGTAAACACGATAACTCAATTTTGGTAAAATTGTCCAAACATCTTGTTGTAGAGCTGGATAAACTTGATTGAGTATAAGAACAACCATTTAATTTTTGTATCATTTTCCCCAATTTGTACCTTAAAAACATGTAAATGCCTGATTTCCATTTCAACCAACATGTAGAGCTATTAAAAAAAATAAAGCAATGGTAGGGTACACAAAAATTAAAAAAAATGTTTTCCTTCCCTAAGCAGCAAACTTAAAGTACTCATATAATCCACTCTAATTAAAATAGGGATTAACTATGACTTGTTTATAGAAATATTTTAGTAAATATCGAATGAAACAAATTAAAATTTGCTTTGTCTGCAGGTTTGCTGCAGCAAGGGTATTTTTCACTATCCTATTATCAGTTTACACCTTGACCTTTGTATTTAATATTCAGTGATGTAACAAAGAAACTTCTATTTTTCTCTCGCCTTGTGATCTTTAAAATCATAGTCATCTTCTAACAACTTTTTTTTACACACGCGAATGGTAGGATTACGAAACAGTGTAACGAGTGCCAATTTTGGATACAGCTCACTAAGAATCCGCCAATTCCAGCAAATTTCTATCTGAGCGGGTTACAGTTGTTATAGATGGGCCTCTGTCACTCATGAGGCGCACACCAGAGACTAGTGGTGTAGTCATAAATCTTCCAGTGCATGAACGATCACCAATGTTGTGACAAAATGTGGGTTGCTTGCCAATATATAGGTTCTTTGGAAAAAGCATACTGTGACTCGTACAGCCCACTACACCACTGCACCAGACTTGACCAAAACAGAATTCGAACCCTTAATCTACAGAACTGTCTTCTGGCTGGAGAGACTACCTCACCCTCACGTCTCTTCCAAGTCCAAGCACAGTTGTTATAAACTTACAACTAAATATGGTATTTTATTTTTTATTGCGATATACTCATAAATAGTAGTAAGGTTATCTTAATCTCGAGTCTGGCATACCAGGTTTTGGAGCTTAAAGTGATAATACTCATCTATGAGCATGACTCAGTAAAATTATAACTATGAGTTAGTAAAAATTGTGAACCTACTTAACTTTTAAAAATGTCTGTGCCAATATGAGGCAGAAAACTTAGGTGAATTAAGAAATGCTTAAGGGTCAGAATTAAATACTCATTTTAAATACACATACCGTTTGGTGAAAAAAATTCAATGTTGTTATAAACACCTGTATTTCTTGGTTTAACATGATAAAAAATAACAGAGACAAAATATGTTAATCTATTAGATACCTAGCCTCAATTTGAAAAAAAAATCAAAAATTTAACAAGTTAAGTTCAAGGAAATGAAGTCAGGACTTAATTAAAGAAAGATAAGGTTGGAGTAAATTATGACTTAAAACAGTCTTGATGCAACAAAAATAAATTACAAATAAATGTACTTTTTTGTTTGATACCATTCAACATTACTGAGCCATTCAAAAAATACATATTGAAAACACAACTGGAAAAACTCAAATCTAAGATTTTTGTTTCACTAAACAAACTAGATTTAAGATACTGTATCTCTGTTTACAAACATTCTTTATACATTAACCAACCTGTTCAGTAAAACTTCCAGTCTGAAATTACAATAAAATAAAATTCAAAAATCAACATAAAAACATTCAACTGTAAACATGAAATAAAATGCCAAGTCAAGTCAATGTCCAGTTATCATTGTTTTGGTTGAACCTTCTGGCGATGGCATGTAGTATTCTCGCTTTTCCCCATGAATCGCTTCGAACCGCTTCCTAAGCACAGCGGCTAGTACGTCTGCTGGGTCATTGGAGGCAGGGGTGACACGCACAGGTCGTCCCCCTGGAGACCGTTCCACATGACGGAGCTTGGGAGGCCTCTTGGACAACTCTTCGATGATCGTGGATGTAGAGTCTTTCACGACATTGGCACTTTTTGGTACAGTCTTGACTAGAGGTGTTATATTGCAAAGAAGTCCAGTTGGAGGAAGAGGTGGGGGTGGGGGAGGAAGTGGGGGTGGGGGAGGAGGGAGGGACAAACTTGTAGATGTCACAATGTCATCTGAAACAAATAAAACTTGTTAATGTAAGTCTGAAACTGTATCCCATAGGCAGCTACATATTACGCTCTAAACTTTTTAAGATGAAAGGAAATAAATTAATCCCTATGTAGCCAAATAACACTTTGAGAAAAGAAATGGCAAAGAACGATGTACAAGTTGCATACAAAACATCCAACAAATTATCTTGAATGCTTAAAGAATAGAAAAGACGCCTTCTGATCAAGTAAACAACACAGGCACCTACAAATCAAACAGAATGATTGCTCGAACTTTACATCGGCCAAACTGCTTGTTCTTTCGCCACTAGATTTAAAGAACATCTACCCAAAAAGATAACATGTACAGATGAATGCGCTTATCTAACGTTCTTCTGACAACTTAAAGATGTGCCCTAGAGGGCATGAAACAGCTGTAGTTGATGCTAACTACACACAGATCGTTTGACACAAAAAGGTAACATAAACCATTTTTATACCTAAATAAACAAATAACCAAGGCTGTTTAAAACTTACATTTAATTTACATTATGCCCACGTCTAGTTTACTATAAACCACTAGTAGAGTATCAAATCTGAACATTCACTCCGCTTGTAATCCTAATGATATTATTTGTCATTGGACTTCAAATTAATGCTTTATTAAAAAAGGTCGACATTAGATGTTAATAAGACTAGGTTTTCACCACCCTTATAATAAAAGGGTGTTCTTATAATAAACATAAAAATTCTATTGGCAAAAAAAATATTACTGCAATGAGTTTGAAACACTCCTGGGATGTATTTTTTTTTTAACCAAAATATGAATGAATGATGGATGAGTGTAGATTGAAGGAGATGCCTTGTGTAGCTTTTAGATTTGTTACAAAGAGCAGTTGTCTCTTTAAACCATTTATTGTAAGCTCAATCACAGACAGCAGAGGCCAGTTTCAAACCATTAAAAAGCCATCTCAATATAACAGGTGAACATTTAATAAAATTGGGCATGTGTTCAAATAATATTATTTCTTAGCCCTTCATAAGCTGGAAAATAAAATTTCTAGATAAACTAAACACAAGAAGTAATTAATTTTATAGGAAATATGAGTAAGAAAACAAAGAATCAAAATACAGAAGAATTAAAAAATATATCATAATAGGCTATTCATAGTGAACTATAGTTTTTAATCTTCACTCAAACAGTTATTATATAGTTTTGGGGAGTTTTTATGGTGATTTTAATTTTAAAATACGAGCAATGACCCGTACAGAATTTTTTCTAATCTAGTAATGTAAACATAGACAATCAGTGTATACGTAGAGTTAAGTTCAGATTAATGAGATGAGCATGAACTAAACACTAATTAAATACTAAATTAGACTGTGGAAAGTAAATAATAACATATTAGTAAGTAAGTAAATAACAACATAAGTAAATAATAGCATAATAAATAAGTGTAACATAACACCATATTAAGTAGTTACTTTAGTGCTTTCTAAAATAATACGATGCAAAAACGTAGATAATGGTATACTTTGCAAGCGTGCATTCTAACATCAGCTATGGTATTGAGTTCTTTGGAAATGCCAAAGATAGTAAAATAATATTTAAAATAAAAAAGAGAATTATAAGAGTTATCACACGAGTTAGTCCAAGAACATCTAATAGAAATTTTTTTAAAAAAATTAAGATTTTACCTGTTCCCTCTTTGTATGTATTAAGCACTCCTTAGGTTTTATGTGATGTATTTTAATAAATAAATACATAACAGAAAACAAAACACGAGATGTGACACACAGAACCAAACTCTGGGCGAGAGAGGTGAACAGGTGATGGACGATGGCAGCATCTGTGTTATGCGAAGCTTAACATTCTGAAAGTAAGGGATTGTGGGGAAGATTTTGAAGAGTGAAATGAGGTCGAGTCAGTTCCTAGGCACTGTAAAGCACTGAGGAACTGTTTATACATTTAATCCCAACCGACCAGCAAAAACACATATTTAATAGGCTACTAAAATACAAATACTCAGAAGAAAAGTAAGTAACCTCTAAAGGGTTAAACATTTAAAATATAATAGTTTATTAGCTGATCAAATAACTTAAATCAACATTTTGAATTGAAATTAAATTATGAAATTAATATACTATCCATAAACGGGGTATTGACTGCAGTCAATATGTAGATGCAAAATGTTGATTTAAGTTATTTGATCAGCTGATTTATTTATAGGCCTAAGGTGAATTAGATTTTCAACAAAACCTTTGATTTATAGATTCTTTCCAAAATCTTTTACTGTAGGCCTACTTAAATTTATCGAATTTTCCATATAGGGAATAAGCTATTACCGTAGTACTCATGGTAAGACCTGGAACCGGGACCGATTTACTTGTTCGTTTTGAGGTCCCTAGAGGCCAAAAAAACCATCCGTTCAAATTCATCTTATAAGTATAAAAGAGGATGTTTGTATACATATATATATATATATATATATATATATATATATTTGGCAGTGATAAACTCAGACACCGCTGAACCGATTGCCACGAAACTTGGTACATACGTGTAGAATTTCATGGAATAGGTTTATACACCATCAATTTCGTGATCCGGCCAATCGGCTCCGCCCCAGTGGCTCTGGAGTTTCCCATGTTAACCTTATGAGTAATGGAATTAATGAATCTTAACAGCTGTTTCAATTAAACAAGTTGGTTCTGTTCTATGATGTTCAATAGCATTAAAGTTACAAGGATTACCAACAGGGTGCAGCACTATTATTTCTTTTACATTTATGACGACAGCTAATTTGCAACCAAAAGGTGAGTGAGCATAGCGAACGAACTGCAACCTGGAGGCGAGTTAGCGTAGTGAACGAGCTAACCTGAAGGTAAGTGAGCGCAGCGAACGAGCTCCAACCTAAAGGTGAGTGAGCGTAGCGAACAAACTTCAACTAGGACGTGATTGAGCCGAATAGAAAGACCAAAAATATTGTCTTCCCACTAGCATTAATATAAGAGCAATAATAAAGAATCGGTTATCCTTTGTACTATATGTGTTTCATTAGTTGTCGTACGTATTTTAATTTAGTTATAAGCACTTCATATACAATAAGACAATTAAATGTTACAGTACTTGAGTACTTAAATTATAAATAGTCAAAGGCAAGACAACGTCTGCCGGGTTCAGCTAGTATCATTCATTATAAATGTAAAAGTTTGTGTGTTTCTTTGTTTGTTTGTTTGAAGTTCAATCACGCATTAAATACTCGTCGGATTGTGTTGAAATTTGGTATGATGATAGCTCACATTCCCGATTAACATATAGACATATTCTTACCTTAAAAATCCTTTCGGGCTCTGCCCCAGCGGCTCTGGAGTTTCCCATGTTAACCTTATGAGTATTCATATTTAAAAGGAATTAAATAATTTTGCCAGCTGTTTCAACTACACAATTTGTTTCTATGATATTCAATAGCATGAAAAGGTTATACGGTTTACCAACAGGGTGCTGCACTATTAGTTCTTTATACATTTATGACTAATTTGAACCAAGCAGCAACAAAAACCTGAGTATGAGAACTTTACTTCTTTCTATTTTTTAGGTTAAGTGGTAGAACATTATGGCTATGGTAGATGGTCTATATACTATAGTATACGGTAGATTATAGTAAACCAAATTTTCTCAAAACGTGTCCTCTCTCATTGCTAATTCAAAGCACGAGTATTTAACTACAATAAGCATTGTATACCAACCCCGTACGAAGGACGGGTACTCAGCTAGTATATATATATATATATATCTTATCTTACTAATATTATAAATGTGAAAGTTTGTGTTTGTATGTTTGTTTATTTGTTTGAAGTTCAATCACGCATAAACCACAGGACAGATTGGGCTGAAATTTGGCATAATGATAGCTCACATTCCCGATTAACATATAGGTATATTCTTATCTCAAAAATCCTTTCGGGCTCCGCCCCAGTGTGACTCTGTGGTTCCCCAGGTTAACCTTATGAGTATTCAAAGAATTTAGTCAGCTGTTTCAACTAAGAAAGTTGGTTCTATGATATACAAAAGCATTAAAAAGTTATAAGATTTACCAACAGGGTGCAGCACTACAATTTTTTTGCATTTATGTAGACAGCTACAGTAATTTAAACTAAGCAAGCAGCAACAAAAAACTGTGATACGCAATGAGAACTGACAAAGTAGGATTGTTTACAGTTATGTTTATGTCATAAATAATTTGTGAATTTGTAACAATTTATTTTTTTTTAGATGCGTAAATACCATTAGTATAATGTCAATTTAAAGAAACAAATTTTATCAAACTTTGTCCTCCTCCATTGCAAACGCAAAGCTTGAGTATAACTGCAATAAGCATTTTACTTATATGCCAACCCCGTACAAAGGACGGGTACTCTGCTAGTATATATATATATGTATATGTAAATATAAATAAATATATATATATCCTACTAATATTATAAATGTAATATATATATATGTGCGTCCGTTAGCACGATAACTCGAGCAAAAATGATCCGATTTTGATTAAATTTGGTCTAAAAGTGTAAACCTACATTTATTCAAACAAGTTTGCGAACCAGCATGATCAAACTATGGGAACGGGGGTTTTTGGGGGTTTTATGGGGTAAAAAAAGTGTTTTCACATTTTTTACCCTAAAAACACAAAATTTCACAATTTTTTTCCAAACCATTTTGTAAAGCTTAAAAAACAAATAATTTAGTAGGCTATATTGAATCGTTATGATGCGCCTGGTGGTTATGGAGAAAATTCAAAAAAAATTTAAATTTAAAATTCCCATGTAATTCTTATGGACAATAAGTCAACTGTTGTAGTTTGCTTATTTATGAACATATTTTGATCAAATTTGGAAAATACATTCATTTCTTACTAAACTACAGTATTCACATTTTACAACAAAAAACACTTTTTAATCCTCCCTGTTGCAGCAAACCTAAGTACTTGTTAAACTGATTCTATTGAAATAGGGAAGAAATGTGATATTTTTAAGGAGACATTTTAGTGTAAATCCAATCAGGCAAATGGAAATTCGCTAAGTCTGCAGGTTTGCTGCGGCGGGGGTATTTTTACTTTATCACTGACAACCAATTTACTTTCTCTCTGAACACCTCCTGTGGTCCAACGGTCAATGAGACATCTGCTAGAATAACACTTAATATATTTTGAACCACAATTCACCGTCAATCCAACAGATATCAAACGATATTATCTGCGGGTACTACATTAGTACTCTCCACATTAGAAGCTCAAGTCTTTAGAGGACCTTTGGACGGTTGGATGTGCGAAGTTGCAAATAAACTCCAACTGGTAACTCCAACATACCATAACTGTGGGGCACCTTCAAAGACACATTTGGCGAAGAGTTCAGTTGATAAAACATACCCGAACAGGAGTACAGCTTCATGCTGCAGCAACCAGAAGCAAATTTTCATTAGCACGTTAGAAACTGCAAAGCTTTTCCATTAGCCTTAGCCAGTTATTATCGAGGGACAAATCACAACTAGCCTCATAACATCCAAGAGGAACAGGCCAGCAGAAAAACGGCTTAAATGGATATGAGTTGAGGAGCAAAAAGCCATTACAGATACTCAATCCAGTTCGAAATAAAATTCAAGCTTCATACTTGATTAGAGGTTCTGGTTCTTAAGGATCTGGAAAAACCTTCAGTATGTTTCTTATGTAACTTTGTCTACATAACGCTACAAAGCCATATTTTACGCAGAGAGGGCTAAGTCTTTTTGCCACCTGCGTGGACATGAATTGCTTCACAGCAACAACCTTCATACAATAGGACCTTATCTTAGACTCCAACGTCTCATCCATGCACTCACATCGAGAACGTACAACTTCAGACAGTGAAAAGTTGCAGCTCGAATCACATAAGAGCAAATGACGGCCCTATTTTTCGCTGAATTGTTTATTAATACTACAAACTGTAATTTTGATGGCTGAGTCCAAATCCCGGTCCGGATCACAACCCCCCAAGAATGGAGCGTGTGGCTCCAACGAATAAAGGATTTCTCCGTTTCGACCAATCATGATGTTGTTTCCCCCGATACAAGACCCTTTGTAACCGTGGAAATATTCAGTCAACCGTTTAGGGCCCTCGTGGATACCGGTGCCATGGTCAGCCTCATTGGTGACCGTCTTGCAATGTTATTACAATCCCGATGGGTTCTGCCTGTAGACAGCAATGTTGGTATAAGAATGGCGAATGGCATGCTGTCTTCCATCACGACTGGATAACGAGTTTGCGGATTATTCGGCGGACTCGAATACGAATGGGACGCGTTACATGTGGCGGGATTGACTTGTGATTTAGTTTTAGGAATAACACAAATTAACGACCTCGATTTGAACTCACTGTAGAACGCAGTCCTGGAGAATGTTCCAGACCCGCCAACGACGTAGCTGCAGTGATCAGGCTGTCGAATGACCAGAGCGTGCGACTAGAGACGTTTCTAGCCAACAAACTCGCGCTCTTCGAGAAGGTCAGCAGCAAAAGCAAAATCCACCTTTTAAGAGCACGTGATAACTCTGAAGGAGGGAGCCGAACCGGTGAAACAGCGATCGTACCCAAGAGGTAAGTCGAGACTATGCTTACGGACGGGGTTATCGAGCCTGCAAATAGCCCCTAGAGTTCTAATATCGTGATGGTAAAAAAAATCTTCCGGTGGGCTGCGGCCTTGTGCAGATTTACGAGGAGTAAACAAAGCCTCTGTTCGTGAGGCATATCCTTTGCTCCGGATAATAAATTTTATCTTAGAGAAAAAGTTTATCAGAACACTCAACTTGAAGCAGGGCTAATGGCAAGTTCATCTCTCGGAGACTAGTAGGCCAATCACTGCTTTTACAGTGCCTGGACTTGGTGTTTACCAGTTCACCGTTATGCCATTTGGCCTCCATTCTGCTGGGGCCACATTCCAACGACTCCTAGATCGAGGATACTCGCCATGCACCTTCGACGCGAGCACGGGTTACCCCGAACGTATAAAAAATTATAATAACTTTAAATGAGACTTTTAAAATTAGATTTTTACCCCTTGACAGGTTTTGGGTCGTTACAGAGAAATTCGCTAAAAATAAGGCACATGAAGAGAAGCTGACGAAAGAAGGAATGTACGTGCCATATCCTGTTTTTCACAAATTGATTTGGAGGTGTTGTCAGTGTAAAAACAAAGCTATCAACATAATCGTATTTGACCATTACATCACTTCAAACATAGTGTTCAAAGAGGTCCTGTAAACATTTAAATAAAATAACTTAACATTATGTTTTGAAACTCATCAAAAAATGTAAACCAACATCTATTCCTGAAATAAGGACCCATACCTAAATCAACGACGCACTATGCAGTATTAACTTTGTTTTATGTATTTCAATTAAATGGGATTTGAGAAGGATACAGGAGGAATGCTTCACACGGGTCAGCTAGTTAGGAAAGTTTAAAATTGAATAACGTTCTCTTACCATCGTTGTTGCTGTATTTGGTTTCTTTTGAGTCTTTCTTGAGTAAAATATTGCTAACTTGCAGCTGCAACTGAAGTAGTTCTTTTTCTAATTCCTCAATTCGATTCTCTAACTGCACAGAGCTCGTGACCCGCTCAATTGACACATTGCATCTGAAATAATGCAATAATTATGACATATCCAATTATTCTTTAAAGCAGAATACACCTTAGTAGATTAACCCTTTGAAGTCGATTTTTTTTCATTTTCCGGCAATTATAGGTCGCCATTCAAGCCGTCGGGAAAATGGTGTCCGGCGGCATATCACCATGCCGACCTCAAAGATAAACCTTTTTTGATTTTTTAATTTTTTTGTGAGTAAAGGTTGTCATTTTTGAGCAGTCCGAAAAAGGCCGGACAGTGACCTATATTCGCCATTCGACCGCAAAGGGTTAAAAAAGTTACTGAACTTCTAAACCAATTACTTCTATAAGTGGTAAATAGCTGGTTATCTGAGTGGTTATAGTGCTCGCCTAGTGATCAATAGGTTTCCGGTTGGATTCTGAGAAAAGTTGTACCCTAAACCATAGCCTTTTATGGTTTGAAACTGGACCAGCTGTCCTCGATCATTGGGCTTTTTATAAAAATGGTCCTGACTAATGAAACTGGTGATCTTAGTAGTAACAAAGCTAAGTTACACTTAACACTCGTATTTTAATAAAAATACGCACCTAGGAGCTTTAATCCAAGTGCTATAGTTTCCGATTTTCCGTACAATTGTAGATTTGCGCTTTCTGTTGAAGTGATCAACACAGGCTTGGTGAAGATAGCAGGAACACTGGAAAGAAAAACAATTTGACAGGGATTTAAAATATAGTTGTTAAAAATTAACAAAATATTATACTACACTACAGTACCGGTAGTTAATTGTAAAAGGCCTATAATCCTTGTCATAGAACAATTAGCCCAAGTATTACGGATTACGTTTGAATATGTTTAAATACCTACATTCAGTAATCCAAACTGCTGCTTATGGCAACTATAGTTTCGGTTCAGCCAGGAACCATCTTCAGGCCGTACATGGTGTCGTTATTTTCCTCCATATATGAAGGTCCTCTTTTAAAATATAAGTTCGAGCTACAACTTCCACCTGGACCCGTCACCTGTCTCATGTCCCCGAGTAACTTAAACTTGGTAGTTTTTAAATGTTAAATGTTTGTCAATCAATGTGCGTGTTCGTGTGTGTTTTATATACTTAGCCTATATTTTAAATTACGACCTTAATATACGGAGATAAATAACCAAACCTTGTATGGCCTGAAGATGGTTCCTAGCTGAACCAAAACTAGTTGCCACAAGCAGCAGTTTAGATTTCTGAATACAGGTATTTAAACCATTATAAATATATTATTGGATTTTCTAAGTTATGGGGAAACAGTCAATTAACTTAACCTGTTAAATTAAAGATTCAAGTAGGCCTATCCACATGCATAGTGCCTCCTTCCGAATAGGTCCTGGGATCTTGTACCAGATGGAACATGAATGTCTACTTCAGACAGCAAGGCAGGACAATCAATCAACCTGGTTACGAGCTTAGAGGAAGACCATATCAGATGCACAGCGCCTCGCCCGAAGATCCTGGAGATTTAGGTTTTCCTGCATTTGAGCCACAGGCACATCCCGATACTGTAGATCCTAGCAAACTCCAACCAATCTCAAAAACTTCCTCTGGATGCTCTCAAGCTGGCTTATCTAGCCAATTAAATGAGGAGACCAAACTGGGCAGGCATTTTCGAGCAGCTGGCGAGCAAGAGAGCAGAACAGAGTCCTAAGCGCCCAAGTGTTGCTTAGTCCACGGGTCGATCGAAAGAGAAATCCCAGAAGCCGGTTTGCTACATATATCGTCAATGTGGTTGTCGAAGGTAAAATCCTCTACAAAAGTAACCCCCAAATCTTTGACCGCTGAGACTCGTTTCAACAACTTATTTATTTATTTATTTTATTTATTTATTTATTGCCAATGGATTTCACCAATTTACAATAAGAATTACAATATAGTGAGATACTCATCATGACTAAATACTAAAACTAAGTAACAATGCAAAACTGATGAACAATACAATAGGGATGCATGCAAGCTCTTAGACAGTAAAAAAAAACTACTTATACCTAGGAGTAACAAGACATAAATAATACAAGACATTCGGTAATTGAATAAATAGTAAAAGTTTAAGTCTAAGAAATATGTACATAACAGAGACAAGTGAGACTAACCTAGGAAATATAACAATAAATATAAATGATATAAATAACGTGATAAATAATACTGTGGTAAGAAGACAAAACAAAAAGCAAACAGTAGGCCTACATGTGATGGACGTATGATAGAGCTAGGAACTATGATAATAACTAATACAGTGAAATGGGATACCTAACAATACATTGACATTTAATACTGATATAAGGTGTAATTTGCAAGAACTTTGTGCTTGAAGGATGCAATCGACTCATTAAAGAAGTCTAGATGAGATGCAGCATCACTTCCAATCCTCAGGAGACGTAATAGTCCAGCATGGTAAGTGTAGTAGGTGGAGTGGTATTTTCTCCTGAAGATAGTTCTAGATCTGGTTCCTCTGGGCGTGACGAAATCAATGCTACTAAGCAGCTCGGGACAGTCGAGAAAACCATTCACAATCTTGTGCAGGGCAACGAGGTCGAAGTGATGACATCTTTGGTTGAGGGGAAGTAAACCGAAGCGTTTTTCCAAATCAACAACAGGAGTGGCTCGGTAAGTGTAACCGATTCTTGAGCCCAGTAGCCGCAGGAATAATTTACATGCTGAACAACCTCCACCCCCTTTAAACTGACCATCTATCGCATACTGAAAGTGGTCGGTTCTCGTAATCTACCGAATGTCATGATTGAGCACTTGGCAATATTCAGGGACATGTTGTTGGAAATGCACCACTCATTAATGGATGTAAGGCCAGTCTGCAAGTGCATAGAATCCTCATAACTTGACACCTCTGTAAAGATCTTAACGTCGTCGGCAAAGAGCAGTGTGTCCACCTTCAGTACATCGACAAGGTCATTGATGAACGCAATGAACAAGTATGGACCAAGTAGAGAGCCTTGTGGGACCCCTGAAGTCTGGAAAAATTCTAGCGACTTGGAGTGAGGCAGTTTAACACACAGGCGGCGTCCTGTAAGGTAGTCCCTCATCCAGTTAAGGAGTGGCCCAAAAACTCCATAGGCTTCGAATTTAGCAATGAGTATACCATGGTCCACTTTATCAAATGCTTTCGCAAAACCAACGAAGGCGACATCCATTTGTCTACCATTTTTCATGGCTGATAGGATAAAATTTTCAAAAAGTAGGAGGTTGGTAACTGTAGACTTTGGAATAGTGAACCCATGCTGACTGTGGCTAATAAGCGGCCTTAGAAATGGCTTGAATCTTGACAAAACCAGCATCTCAAACACATTTCCGATTGACAGCAGTATACTGATTGGCCTGTAGTTGATCACATCTGAGGGATTTCCACTCTTAAGGATTGGGACTATATGACCAACTTTTAGTAGGTACGTGTGGGAAAATTCCTTTTTGGATAGAGGAGTTAAAGAGATAGTAGGTAACTGTAACGAGTAAGATATTAAGCCTATTATAGTTTATACCACCAGTTGTTAAATAGACTATAATAAGTTAAACAAGCATGCAAAGTTTCATTGTGATAAGTTAAGTACGGTAAGTAGGCTACTTAGGCTATGGTAACTTATTCTAAGAGTTGTAGGTAGCCTAAGTTACCTAAAGTTTGTCAATTTAACACGTGCGGTAAGAACTTAGGGACGTTGTACTCCCCTTAAGTTATTTAGTGCTCGATTTGTAAAAAATGAAGTGCCGGAACAACTGTAGGTAACCTGATTAAGACAAAAAAGTACCTATTTAAGCCAATATTTTTATCTTTTCGAAAGAAGTAAGTTACTGCCACATAACTTAGGCCTACCCGTCACAGGCTGCACTTTACTTAAAGTTAGGTTCTCCACTCATTCGAATGAAAATATCGATTGAGTATTCGATTGTTTCATGCGATATATCATTTGGTTAGTTAGGTTAGGTTAACCTTACATAACTAACCAAACGATATATTGAATGAAACAATCAATTAATCGATACGGTATATCGATCGATATTTTCATTCAAATGAGTGTAGGACCTAAAGTAAAGTGCAGCCCCGTCACAAAACGAGCACTGCACTTAACTTATTAACAGATGAGTAAGGCCTTAACGAGCTTATAAAAGTTTATAAAAAGAAATTAGACCTAGGCCTACCTTCTTTAAAAAGTACAAGGCATCCCCCATGAAATAAATGCCAAGGGCAACGATGACAGCTTCGCATTCCATTCTTAACTTAGTAGACAAGGGAGGTTTTAAAACTTGAATCAATTGCTAAATTAAATTTGCGATAACCAAAGTACTGTAGGGCTTTCCTTGTTAAGATAACTTAAATGAATGAAAAACATTATAACTTCAAGGACAAAATCTCAAAGTCTTAGCCTATGCGGATGCCTATATTTAAAATTCCTGAAATTTAGACTGGTAGAAACTCCTGGTTAACTGGTAGAAACCATCAAGAGCAAACCACTTAACCACAAGCCAAAACACGCAAGTCAAAAGTCCTATACCTAATCCTAACAACTTAAACCACGCGAAATACCTAAGGCAACCTGCCCCTTGAGGAGAGCAACTAGGAGCTTTTATTTTAAAGTTAAATAAAGAAAGACAATCAAAATTCCAAAATTAACCAAGATTCACTAGGCCTACCCCTACCCTAACGCTACTAAAAAACAAATGTTTTTTTTACAAAAACTTTTAGATTTAGTTTTATAAATGTGCGTGGCCCGTGGACGACAATGGAATGAATCCAAACAATGCAAGCAAACCCCAAACAAACAAAAACAAACCAAACCAAACTCTCGTTTCAATCTCATCCCACTCCCTCCATATTTTTTTACATCGCCGCATGGCGCATAGTATCACGGGGAATGAGTTTGAGCACAAACCAAGACTGAACGAATATAAAGAATACTAGATCCAAGATTATATACCATATTTGATGTAACAAACATGCTAAGTTTATTCTACTTGTTATTATTCAAAATCTACCAATATGGTTATGTATTATTATGGCTTAAGTTGCGTGAGACTGGGACCTAATAACCTCAAGCAGAAAAACTGAAACAATATTCAAACACACAAAGAGCCCTGTGATACCACAGAAACATACTACTATAACCGTAGTATGTTTTCTGTGGTGATACCTTCAATATCGAGGGTCGCTGTCAAGGCGCCACCACTGTCAGCCTGGACAGCACTGCTATTCCTATATTTAAAAATACATAGATAATTTAGGCATAGGTTCCCCGAAGATGATTTAAAATGCACAGGAATGTCACAATAAAAAAGTTCATAATGTTTAACCGTTTAACTTAATACTTAATACTTTTCGATGAAATGGTGACCATACAAGGTAGGTATTTTAAGCCAAGTATGAATGGGGATGAGTGTAGGATAACGGTTTAAAAGCATGTGAAAAAATAACAAGTATTGTTATTTTCATTATAGCATGGCCCTCAATCGTTAATTTATAGTGAGTTTGTCTTACAAGTTGGTTAACAATAATCGTTATTAATTAAAAGAAAAAATTGTCTCGCGTGGATGAGTATAATTGATTTTTATGGCAGCTCTTTTAAAGGAAACCCACTTTAAAATTAGTGTCTTTATTAATAACTAATGTTTTTACATACACCAGTAGGCGTACTTTGGCTACTCGGCCCAGACCTCTGGGACGTCGCTGATGACAGCCTTCTGAGGTCTGAAATGCCTGATGAAACTGTTTTGGTTGGGTACGCAGACGACTTTGCAGCTTTGATAGCTGGCACGCAGCGTTGAGCTGGCTCGCTGACTCAGCTAAAGCTAAACCGAGTTATGCGTACCATAAACGCATGGATGGCAGACCACGGTCTCTCGCTTGCTTTGAGCAAAACCGAGATCGTGATTTTGACAAAAAACGGATTGACACCATCGTGCCGTTGAGGGTGGGAGCCGTCGAGGTTCAAACCGTTCGTTCTGCCGAGTATCTTGGGGTCATGGTAGACATCAAGCTTGACTGGCGTGATCAGATCTTCCGTACAGCGGACAAGGCCGCTAGGGTGGTTTCTTCTCTTAGCCAATTGATGCCCAATGTCGGACGGCCTCGGTCCAGTCGTAGAAGGCTGTTAATGTCTTCGGTCCAGTCTGTACTCATACGGTGCGGAGGTATGAACAGACAAATAAGGAGGCATACAGGATGTGGCTCGCCCGAGTGCAGGGTTAGGCAGCACTGAGGGTAGCATCTGCCTACCGAACAGTGTCCGAGCCCGCCGTCGTGGTGGTTGCTGGAGTCCAAGATGCATGAAGTAAAAGAGGTGGGCCAGACAGAGCGCGCCCCTCTTCCCCCCTCGCCCATCGGACTGAGGCAGTGACGTCACTGCAGTCCTCGAGCCGCTACTCACAGCCCGTACACAACGTTTTTAGATGTTATGTTGCGTTGTTTACGCCAGTTTGTACTACGCAATTGTTAAAATTGGTTTTGCTTGGTTTTCAATATATTAATATGTTATTCCTTATTATATTACTACTAAAATATTAGAGCAATTGTTAATTAAATTGATGTCCATTTCTGCAATTATTGTTGTTATATCACTAAGGATCTACTCTGATCCGGTAAATAGCATCTAATTTTATGATGTATATATTTTTAGGATAGCCTACTTAACTGGTTCATGAATATATTAGTAACTTAATTAGATACCCTAAGTATTTTTAAATTACTGTATTAATAAAATCAAACAAACATTTTTCACCATACAGATATACCAAATAAAAGTAGCTTTTAGTAATGTACAATCATCATTAGATTAGTGTAATTAGGAATGGAGATTTAAATTTGTATGAATGGAAAGAAAACACATTTTAAATAAAAACACTTTATTTACAAAGTGTATCTCTCACCATTGGACATGCAATCAGATATAAACACATTGCGTTATTAGAGTTCTTGAAATCTTTTACTTACTCTTAAATTTAGTGCTGACGATGACGTTTCTTAGTTGATTATTTTTTATTTTTCGTTGCCGTTCATTTGTTTTTGCCTGTTTAAAAAACTTCAATATCATTAGACTCTACTATTCTTCTTTGAGCAAATAGCTCAAGACGGTCTAGAGGTAAACAATTAACTTTAAGGCGTGGCTTAATGTCTTAACTTTCTTCACAGGGTCATTTATTCATATCAAAGCATTTTAAATATTTAATTTTCAATTTTAAAAATTCCTTTTCCAAACTCTCAATTTTCATTTAGCCTACATTGCGGTGTTTTATTGTTACAACACAGATTGCACAATTTTTTTGTTTCCCCGGTAAAGTTTTCTGAACTTTCGTTTTGTAGAACATTCCTCCGCATCACTGCGATAATACTGTGTTCAGTAGACACAAGTTTGATTCAGGGCTCACGGATTTTTAACATTCCCCAAACCCAATAATCATTAAATTAATTCCTTTAAACATCTTCAAAATAAACAAATATAAAAATGTTTGAAATCGAAAAATCGTTTCTTTTTCACCTTTCAATAAAGACAAACCGTATAAAGACTGGGACGGGTGGCGTCGTCCTGTAATCCAGCTACTAGGAGGTCACGGATTGTGGATATTTATAGGTATGCACTGTGGATGGGATACTCCCTGGTGTGGATTAACGTCCGCACTGGTGAGTATTACGACTATCCGCAGTACTATCCTGATAATTAGACCAATTCGTATATACCAAGGAAAAAATGTGGTTCGGATTCCACTATAAACTGTAGGTCCCTTAGTTACCATTAGCTGTTTGGGCTATTAATTAACAGCTGTGTCTAAGGAATGTCGGCCTTAGTCACTAACAAGACTACAAGATCGCGCCACTCATCCTACACTCATCTCCATTCATACTTGGCTTAAAATACCTACATTGTATGGTCGCCATTTCATAAGAAAGTATTAAAGTATAAAGTATATATATTTTCGAATAAAATATGACTCTTATGTCGGATTGAGTTTTAGTCTTAAAATAGGTAACTGTCATTATATATAGCTAGAGCAAACCGCATACCTAGCAATTTTTATCTCAGTAAAGTAAAGTTTTCAGAAAGTAAACTCGTGTAAAAATACCGAACAAACGTGCACTTACATAAAAGAGAAAATCCTCTTAACACGAAAATAATAAAGTCTAAAATGAAATATATGTATATACATACGTAATTAATATTTTTTCTTTAAAAGTACCTGTGAACCAAGCTTTCCTCGGGGAAAATCATTAGTATTCTCTGAGAGTATTCTTTGGTCAATGCCATTTATCCAAACAGATTTTTGTGGTCTATTTAATTCCTGTAAAATAGTAATACAGTATCGTGTTGACTTTTATTTGTAAGCAACATTTATGATTCTCATATAAAATATTATATAATTAGTTGTTGTTTTTTTGTATCAACAAACCCAAAAAAGTTTAACACTAAATAGAAAAAGAAGAAATTAAAAATGAAAAATGATGGCGTTTCATTTATAACTAACACCAAAAAGCAGTTGAAGTAACTTTTAAACAGGCAACTTTTTTACCTAGTGCTAAAACATATATTTTATTAACTAACCTGAAAAAGGGGAGTGTTATATCTTATTCAAAAAATATTCTAAAGTGTAATTATTATTCCAACGGAATCGGTAGACGCCCGCATTTCATCGCTTTCTATGCAACATACAGGCCTGATTGGTTATTTACTATTGTCAAACTGTCCACAATTCATGTTAGTTCAAAATCATAAAAATCATTATTTAGTACACAAAGATATTTGTGTCATAACGGGAAATACCTCCTCCAAACCAGCTTAAATCGTGTCTGAAAAAGTAAGGTTTGTGCGTTAGCATGTATCTAGCGGCGAGGCAGCCGCGGCCGGGACTGCAGTGACGTCATCGCGCGCAGTCCGCTCTGTCTGGCCCACCTCTTTTACTCCATGCATCTTGGCTGGAGTCATCCCCGTCAAACTTTTGGCGGCAGAGAGAAAGACAATTTACCGGCGCCGTGGGGAGGACGAGGCTCGAACAGAGGAACGCACCCGCACCTACCAGCTGTGGCAGGAGGGCTGGGAACAGGAGACACGGGGACGCTGGACCAGGCAACTGATACAGCAAGCCTTAACCTTGGGTTAATCGGTGATACGGAGAGGTGGACTTCTACCTCACCCAATTTCTGATGGGACACGGCCTTTTCCGGTCGTACCTGTTCAGGATGGGCAAAGCCGCGTCACCCGATTGCATATTCTGCCCAGGCATTCTCGATGACGTGGAGCATACATTTTTCCACTGCCAGCGTTGGGAAAGGCCCCGCCTGGAGGCTCAACAGTTAGTAGGACCACAGACAATATAATACTTTAATGTATATTATATTGTCTGTGGTAGGACTGTTGTCGGTGGACACGGTCATACCGATGATGACGGAGGGTGAGGACAATTGGACCTGTGTGTCACATTACATCCAGGGTATTCTCCGCACCAAGAAGCTCGACCTTGACCGGGATGCGGTGTAGCTCATTTAAAGAATCTAAATGCCAGAAACGGTGCGAGCCCTGAGGGCTTAGGTCACATGTATGATAATAGATTATTTCTTTTTCAAACGGATTATTATCGCGGGTACAGCTAGTTTTATCATATTTGCTTATTGTTCTATTTGTGTTAAACAGATTGTAAATTAAATAAAATGTTTAAAAAAACACTTTTGTGAATAATGTTGACTACATTGAACCAGAAATAAATACTGGCTAAATCCCAATGACAAAAAAAAACAGACAGAATCTCAATTTTTTTAGAAGTTGTAGTGAA